GGGTTGGGGGAGTGGGAGGTAGTGGTGGTGAAGGGGGTTGGCAGGAAGGGGCCAGCAAAGCCAGGCAGCAGCACAGCTGCAGCTTCTACCCTCACTCTTCATGCCCTGCTCTGAGCGCTGGGTCACTCCTGTCAGGGTGGAAGTGCAAGGACCAGAGGCAGGGAAGTGCAGGGACTGGTTCAGGCCACACAAAGGTGTGAGGTCTTGGCTGGGACAGCAATAGCATTTCACATGGGCCTGGGGTCTGTGACATAATACACTGCTGTCTTTCTCTAACTACTGCCTTAAAAATAAGTTCAAAGTGGGCCTCCCCTGGTGGCACAGCGGTTGAGTGCTGGACTGCGAAGATGCCTGTAGCCTCTGCAGCGCTGGTTCAATCCCCGGCCACCAGCAAGGGTCCCACATGGCACGCAGACCTCTCCTGCTGCGCCCGCTGCTCCCTTCAGCAGTATATTTCATCAGTCTGCCTGTTCTGTTCCCAACTCTGGCTCTGGTGAATTCTCTTACCCTCCCACGCTTCTGACTGTACCCAGTGCTTGTATAAATAAATAAATAAATCTTTTAAAAAAATAAGTTCAAAGTTTACCGTCAGCACAGACATCTCTTTATGTGACGGACATGTATAAATAACTGCCTATTTGACATCTTCTTTTCGATACTTGTCAAATGCAATTCATTCTTATCATGTTCAAAACCAGCGTCAAGCTCTCCTTCCCCTCCAAACCTGGGTCCTCTTTACTTGCTCCCCAAAGTAGTATCCCATCGTAGTCAGCACCTAAGGCAGAGGCAGGGGAGTTCCCTCAGATACCAACTTCTTCCTCCCCTACAATGTTTACCAGAATCCTTCCACCTGATCCTGTTGGTTTCACCTTTAACCTCTTTGCATTTCTTTCCATGTCTATTACTGTCCCTGTCCAAGCTGCTATTTCCCTCCCTGGATTTCCATCTCAGCCCCCTGTTTGGTCTTCAGCATCTGCTCTGCTCACCTCCAGGCTGTTCTCTTTATAAGCAGAGAGATCTCTTCTGGAAGCAAATCTGGTAATGTTATCTGACCACTGAGAATATTTCCCTGGCTTTTCCACTGCTCTTAGAATAAGGAATCAAGATCTGATATTGGCTTCCAATGCCCAAACGGCCTGATTCTAGCTCCCCTCCAGGCTCCTGGCCGACCCCGGCACTCCAGCCACTGTACTTGCTCCCGTGTCCATCCTGCCCTTGGACCTTTGCACATTCTGGCCCCACAGCCGAGACCAGCTTTCCCCCTCTAGAGTCACGTGTTTCTTAATAATGGGGATATATTGAGATGTGTCACCAGGCAATTTCCTTGTAACCAGGCAAACCCAGCGTACCACACACCTAGGCTCGATGGAACAGTCTAGTGGGGCCACTAGACTGTTATAGCATCCACTGTTGACCAGAATGTGACACATGGCTCTTTCTGGCACCTGGCTGACACTCAACCAATTCCAGGGACGCCTTTCCTGACCAGATCAATGTCTCCTATAAACCGCTCCCAACGCACATTTCCTTTCAACACTTGTCACGATTATAATTTTAAGATCTTTGATTACTTTCTGCCTCCCTTGTTATACTGCATGTCCCAGGAGGCAGGACTGGGTCTTGTTTTTTCTTTCTCACTATTCTAAAGCCACTACCTAGGACACAGGCAACAGTTAGTAAATGCTCTTTGAATAGAATGCATACAAGTTGAGGTGCACAGTTTTAAGAACAAGGAACAAAATTTTCACTTATCATTTATCAACATAACATTATAACATTATAAAACATTATACCATTATAAAACATTATAAAACAAATTTGTCTTGTTTCCATTTTAACTCTACTCATTTTCTAGACCAGACAAATGCAAACAAGGTGTATATGACCTTTTCTATTTTCTTTTCCTTGTGTTTTATTTCTTATTGGCTTCTAAAACCCTTTAATGACATTAATTTCCCCAGTTTCAAATATAAGGTGTTTTCCCCTAAGCTTCGCTTGTTAAAAAGGGTTTTTACAATTTTGCACTTTGGAATCTGTACACTCAGATGTCTGCACACAATTAAAAATTAATAGGTGATAACAAAAGCATGGGAAACAAAAGAAAAATGGGGAAACTGGTCTTAAAATTAAAACCATTAATTTTTAAAGTGCACAAAGGACACTATCGAGGGGTGAGGAGACCAGCCCCTGAATGGGAGAAAGTGTGCACGCGTTGTTTCCATTCAGCATACATAAAGGATTCCTCCAACTCAAAAACTAAAGGACAAACAAGCCAGTTAAAAACAAGTAAAGGACTTGAATAGACTTTTCTCCAAGGCAGATACAAGCTGGCTGATAAGCACATGAAAAGATGCTCATTCTAAATCCTTAGGGAAATGCAAATCAAAACCACCAGGATCAGACCACTTTACACCTACTGGTGTAGCCACGAAGAACAACAACAAAACCAGAAAACAGGTGTTGGCAAGAATGTGATGAAACTGGAAATCTTGTAAATTGCCATGAGGATGTCAAATGATGTAACTGCTGTGCTTCCTCAAAAGTTAAAGGTGGGGTGACCACCTGCCTCAGCAATCCTCTCTCTACCTCCCCAAAGCAGGAACTCCAGCTGACACTTACACACAAAAGATCACAGCAGCATTTTTCACAACAGCCCAAAGGTAGAAACAACTCCAGGTGCCATCAACATAGGGGTGTGTGCACAGACACGGCCTGTTCTCTCTGAGCTGGTGATGGTCCATAGGGTTGCAGGAACACTGAGTTGGCAATCGCTGAACTGGTCCTCGTAGGGGCATGCTGGATTAGGTTCTGGAGAGCCCGTGGTGAGGACACCTTCATCTGCTAGTCTATACGCCATCCTGTCTCATGTACGTTGTTTAAAGACGCCTCATTGACAGATTTTGTCGGTTCATCAGCACTGGACTCACAGCAACAGCACTGCAACTCAGGCCTGAAAGCAGCTTATCTAACACATGTGATGGCCTACGAGGGACACTGCAGCCTTCCTAGGAACACCAGACAGCACTCGGCCTTATGCCTGGGGGCCACTTCGGAGAGTGAAATCACCAACATGAAGCACAAAGATGCCAAGAATGTGGCACCAACTAGATCATGAAAAGAACACTTGTGTATCAGATAAGAGATGGATCAAGAAGACCGGCTGGCAGCCGAGCTGTGCACGCCTGGGGAATCAAATTCATGGCTACTCTGTGCAGATCTGTAATGACGGCCAAGTGCTGACTTTGCAAGTTCTGACTCTGAGGTCACAAATAAAGGGAGCCAAAGGCCGATTCACACATCTGTGGACAGCAGTGATTAACTCTATGGACATACAGTGGCATGTTATCCAGCCAGTGAGTGCAATTCTGATACACGCTCAACATGGCGGACTCTTGAAGACATTGAAGACGTCACGCTACATGAAACAGGTAAGTCACAAAGAACACCTCTTGTATGGGTGCACTTATATGAAACATCTAGGTGAATTCATAGACTAAAGGTTATCAGGGGCTGGGGGAGAATATGCAGAGATTGCTTAGTGGGCTCATAAGCTGTGTTTGGGATGATGAAAAAGTACAGGGATGGATGGTAATGATGCTTGCACAAGATTGTGGATATAATTAATGCCATTGAGTCACACACTTCAAAATGGTGAAGGTGAAAATTCCAAGTTTTATCTATCTTATGCTGAAAAAAATCAATAGATGGACTAAATAAGATTAAAAGGATTATTTGAGTTTTCTCTTAAAACATAATCACATCGACACCTTGGATGGCACTAATAGAGACTGTTATTTACCCACACTTGTGAAACAAAGACCCTCTTTAGTATGTTTTTCTTTTGATTTATAGGCCACATTTCAAAACAGATTTACTATTTAACAATATCAGCTTACTACTGACGAAAACAAGTAAATGAAAATGTGCATGTCACTTGTTTGGCCTCACTTCATGCTTTTGGTGAAAATTTATTCAGTACTAGAATTATTCTTTCTGACTAATTGCCAAACGAGGGGTCACTTTGAGAACCAGCAGCTAATTGATCACTGGAATACAATAGTCTTTACGGTATCCTTGATCTGGGTCAATCGGTGCCCTTAGATAATACCTGCTGCTACTATATAGGTGTCTGGCATGCTGTGTCCACTTTTAATCTTTTGCACAGCTTTTCTTTCTTTTATCACCCATTTACTTCTCATCTGCTTCCCTCCCTACTGAAAACGCCTATTTTCACATCTCAAGAGAGAGCCAGCCATCTGCTAGAATGTGGCTGTGGATACTATCATAATTCAAACGTTCCTTTTCATTTTAAGTATTTCTTGACCCAACAATTACAAAGAAGCACCACTGGATATAAACACAAGTGAAATGTGCTAATGTGGAATGCAAACACTATTAAAATGTAAACTTAACATAGGAAGGAGTTCACGGCCAAAGAAAAATCTATTACGATTCTTTCAGTCTTTTAATATGCATCATAAAACTAGAAATGTTTTACTACAGAATAACATTTTGGCTTCTTTTATGATTGCAAAGAAGGGTAATTATGATTGTCATGAAAACACATTGAACAGCTGTATAGTGTTAACAAAAGAACCATTATATGAAAGCTCACAAAACCTGGCACTTCACACACTCACATTTCCTGGAAATTAGATCGTCTTCCCAACTGGAGCAGATACCCAAAGAGACTGTTTTCTATTAATTGTGGCTTTGTACCAGTCAAGTTTTGGGAGCCAACTGGATCATCTCTCTTTTGGGACAGTTCCTACATATTCTTACGTGAGACCTATATACACTGATTTATAGATGCGTAGACAGGGGCATTATTATTCTGTAAGAAGTTATTTTTAAGTTTTTGAATGATAGCTTTTTAACTCTTAAAAAAAGCTAGTTATTAGTGGATTCTTTCACAAACGTACATCTGTTTAGAAATCACAAAAATTCATAACAAATAACTCTGCAGTTTATTTTATGAAGGCTAATTAATAGGTACTTACTCATTAAAGACGAGGTCTGGCGCAAAATAGAGAAATTGGCTGTTCGTATGTTTGTACGATCTCCAGCTCAAGGCAAATGATGACAGACACATCCAAGAATACTGGATTAGGGTAATTTGGTCCTCAAGAGGCAAGTTTTTAAATCCTGAAGAACAGAACAATTAATCACAGAAATACACTTAGCATAAGTACATTCCAGGAAGATGCTTGTTAAGTCAACCCCCAAACAGCCACCTCTCTTGAATAGACACAATAAATTCCACTGTCATTTATGGGGCACCCATGATGTGCCAGGCCCTGTTCAACATTCAAATTCACCCTAAATTCTCAATGAAGGTGAACAGCTAGGGCAAATAAAACTGGGGAGATTCACTGTGAATAATGGTTTAACATGCTTGGCTAGACAGAGAGAATTTGTATTAACCTGTAACTCCTCACAATTAAAACCATCAAAACAAAGGAGACTTAGTAACTGTCCACACCTGCACATCTATACTAGTGGTGCAAAATTTTACTTTTCATGAGTCTGTGGGGTTGAAAAGCATTACTTCTGCTCCTCCTGGTCTGGGGTAATACCAGACTTAGACTTTGGAGGTGATAAGCAGCCATGGCACCTGACCTCACCTCTCCTACTGTCTGCCTTGCAGGGCCTTAAGTCTCTCTCTGGACCCTTCTCTCATCCCATGTGTATCCAGTGGCTTTGAGACAGTGTTCCCTCTCTAGAGTTTCACCTCCATAGGTGACCCAAGAAACCACTTTGGATGAACAAACAGGGACAGAGTGACAGCAATTCTAAGTGCTGTTTCTATAGATGAAAAGGGGCCATCGCAACAAAATCCTACAATGTGAAGAACAACTAGGAATTTCAAGGACAACGTAAAGGATACTGGGGCTAAGACAGTGTTTTTAGAAAGAAGAGTCTTTTAGGGTCTCATACAACATCCCTCCTACAACAGGTCTTGGTCTACCTGATTCATGCTCAGGTGAGGCCTGCTAATAATGGGTTCAGTCAGTGCTTTCACAATGCATGTTACCTTATTTAAAGCCTCAAGATGAAAATTTTCATTTTAATCATCAACAACAGTAATGTGTATGCTAAATCAACAACAGAACCCTTACTCCTAACGCCTTGGAGAAATGAACACAATCAATGGCTTTTTTCTACACAGCCTATTCACTTGATGCCAATTTCCAATTTAAAGTTAGGATTGTGCAGAAAGCTAACTCCAAGCGGCCCCTGGGCATGGTGGAGAGTGTCCCCTCCACCTGTCCAGGTAGGATCAGGCTGTGGAAGGAGGGTCGGCCGGCCTACCTGGAAGTACCTTTGCCCATTTCACGACTTGAATCATCTGTTTGCCCGCTAAGCGGTTGAGCGTGGACAGCAGATTCTCAGCGGTATCTGGTTTGGAGCTGTCGTAGCCTGCATACACGACCTCGGGCTCGATGGTTTCCAGGATCATGGCGGGGGATGGCGTGAGTGCCCGGGAGATGGCGGAGAGCTGGGGCACCAGCGCTGAGTTGACCGAGGGCTCCTTCGCCGGCGCGATGTAGGTTGTCCCTTCCTCAGGGCTCTGGGGGGGCGGGGGCGGAGGCGGGGGCTGCTGCTGCTGCGTCTGTTCTTCATGAATCCCTTTCAACTTTCCCAACTTTTTTGACTTTCGAGCTATAAAAATATATAAACAATAAGGGCAAAATGAAATTATGTTTGGGATCTACCCCACGAGGTAAACCACAGTCAGTATCATGGATGGGTTCCAGCATACTTTTCCTCTAACTATGTCAACAGTCAATACCGGACACTATTATAAGAGCTTTATACAAATTAACGAATTATAGAAATTTATGAATAGGTACTATTAGGATTCTCACTTTATAATGAGGAACCTGAGTCTAAAAGGGTTTAGAAATCTGTCCAAGATCACACAGCTAGTGTATGTGAAATAGATATGTGGGCAGAGGAAGGATAAATCACTTAGAGGGCTAGTAAGTTCTATATTCGTAACTAAATCTTATCTAAGCCAATAATCCCCACTTTCTATCCATCAAAGAATTGCCAGCAAGTGCTAGAATATCCTCATGCATGTATGAACTTAGCGCTATCTCTGCCCCCTCATTAGCTCTCCTGGCCCCTTTGCTTCCTCCTGGCGGGTGCTTCTGTGCCACTTCTCCTGTGATGGACCATCTGTAATCACTTGCTTATGCCAACTAATGATTTTGTGCAAGTGCTGCTGGTCTTCTATTCCCAGCTCTATGGTTAACTGCTGGACCACAGGAAGGCTGCGTGGTCTCGGCAGTCACTAGGGTACTTTGGGAAATGCTGGACCTAAGAAAGTGATGTAGAGATGGCCACTGAAAGAACAGAAAAATCAACCTCAGAGTAAGCAACATACAGACATTAAATATCCGGATGATCCCAAGTTGTGCTAACCAGTCAATGAATAGGAATTGACAAATACAAATCTCTTCAGGTGTAAGTTGCACTGATGAATCTGTAAACACCTGCCCCACACTGTATTTTTAAGACAAATGATACACATTATATAACCTATCACTGAAAAAAATATACTACTACACAGGAATCCAACTTTAGATTTTTAGGAAAACATACCACATACAAGTCACCACATGGTCTGATTTGTCCAGAACAGTTTTGGTGGATGCACTGATGGTTGAATCAATGAAAGGATAAAAAAGAAAAGAAAGTTCAGAAGTACCCAAATGAATTCTGAGCTGTGGTAATAACTTACTTTATAAGGTTTATTTTCTTGAAGGTTTTAAATGTAAAAATCAGTTGAAGAACCAGATACCTTTTACTTAGTTCTAATAAATGGGAGGAAATTTCAGGATACAAACTCAGCACAGAATGGGGCTATACCACACGAATGGACTTGATTAAAATAAATGCACGTTTACAGTTACTATGCGAACATTCACCGCGTCCCTCACAGAAACACTGATTTCGATAAAAGACAAGCCGGTATCTGACAATAGACACGCATCTGCCACACATTCCTGAAACACTGAAATTGGGCTTAGAAGATGAACAAGTTATAATTCCTATCTTTAAGGAATTTAAAATGAGCAGAACAATAAATATATTTTCAGTTATTCCATCAAATAATTTCATTTTGATATAGTCTGCCTCCTTCAGAAAAAAGATTTGAGACAGAACAATGTTTTTAGATTTATTTGAATTAAAAATAGATGCACCATATTCACGTCTGCTAATGGGTAGCTGCTGACAAGGTCCTGCCCAGGAGCTGAGCGTTCAGTGGTAATGAGGTTTCTGATGAAGGCGTGAGTGGATGATGGAGGAAATAATTGGCAAAGTAGCTCAAAAAACTCGACCAGCAAGAGAGAACCTAAGATGTCAATAATGAAAAATGCCGGTGACGGATGATTCTGTAAGAGCTTGAGAAAATCCTCACGAGCATATATTGGTCATCTGAGGAAAGAGATCTGGGAACTGTGTGTCACATAAACTCTCCCCTAAGCCTCAGGTAACTCATCTCACAAATGGACGCCAAAGTAATTCCCTCTCATGTCACAGAGGGCTAAATGGGTAAGAAAAGTAAAACCATGTTCAAAATTATTACTGACATCTGAAACATTTCCACATTATTTCCACCCTTTTCTATAATTTTGCAAAAATTTTAAACGATTATGAAACTATCCTTCTCCTTTACAAAACTTTATCTGATGATAACCATCACTTGATTAACTACAAACAGCCCTGGGTGATATTTTCAAATTTTATTAAGTGTGGTATTTGCTTGCAAATTAATTATAAAATTCATTATTTGCTTTAGGCCTTAAGTTTGTAGTGCTGTGTTTATTCTCATCATTGATTTAAGGTCAAGGCCATGAAAAATTATGAAGAATGCTTAATATTTTCTTTGGCACTTACACACAAGGCTGTGGCCTATAGCACAATCAATTGAGCAGCTGTCAACATTGTTTATCATGGCATTTCAGTTACATTTAACTCGATGTCATTTTGGGGATATATGTGGGATATACTTGGAATTGAGTAATAACCTATACTTAAGAAGATAACAAATACTTTCAGTGCACAGATTCTCCAGCCAAGTATATCCACTTGGTATCTCTTTCAAAAGTGTGGGGAATACAGTGACATAATTAATTGCAACTATATTACTCAAAGTAGTCTTTCTGATGCTTGGAAATTTTATAGAGCTCTTCTAATATATGCCGTATTCTAAAATTAAGGCTCCTGAAAGTTGGTAACAATGTCTAATGTATTCCAATAACATTACTTCCATGAAGCTTATAAGTAACTCAATGTTTGTTGAATAAATTTATTTCAAATTTGAATAAATTCAATACTGCTAATAGACTATTAATAAACTATTAATAAACTATTTATTCAAATAAACTATTTGAATAAATTCAATACTGCTAATAAACTATTTAATAAACTATTCTGCTCCACAAGTGACCTATCAATTTACTTTATGTAAGTAATGGAGACACATTTCTGTGATTTCAAGATAAAATTTCTGAACTGCCAATTAGTATTCTTTTTCAAAACTTCTACTGCATAATGATCCACTGGTAGAGTCGTACTCTTGAAGTGCCACATCTAAATAACAGGGGGCATGTTTACCAAGCAGTTATGTGCCAAGCATAGTTCAAAACACTTTTTGGTGTTTGAACCATTCGTTTGGTGTTTTGCCTACCACGCCGCTCATTTTGTAAGTGATGAAACCTATTCAGAGCGATGAAGGACTTCAAGGTCACAGAGCTTGGACTTGAATCCACAGGATTTGGACTTGAATCCAGCCATGGCTCAGCCTCCGCCTCCTAACTTCTATGTATGCAGACTCTCCTCTCGTCCCTCCGTCTATCTAATTTGTATTATTTTTGTACTTCCAGAGAGCACAAGCTTCAAATCCAAGAGTGTAATTAAGATGCTTGCTAATCACACAGGAAAATCTTTGGCCAAAAATACTTAATGAACATGTTTCCATCATCCCAAGCAACCGTGAACGTACATTTTGGCTCTGAACACCTACCTGCCATTCTACTAAATTAACACAGAGTTAATGGCCATCGGGTTTGGGTGCCCAAGCTCCCAGGTGGCCAGAGTTACGGTGCATTTCTCCATTGCCAGCAACAGCGCCGTGTGGCTGTGTGTTGTGGGGAGGGGAGCAGGTGGGGTGCATTTATATGTCTGTAAACATCTCCCAGTCCCATTTAAATCCGGGGGAGTTTCATTTGTTCTGCCTGGATGTTGCGAGGGACTAGTGTTCTGTGGCTGCCCTAAGGTGCCAAGTCCTCAATTCCCAGCAGCACAATGGCAACTATTTTCTCATGATGCCTCTGGGAAACAGAACTGTGCTGCTCTGTGATCCCCAGGAGCTGTGCTGTGAAAGGCCATGCTTCCCACCCTGACCAATCCAGGTGGTATCCTATAGAACTGAGAAAAATTCCCACTGGGATCTCAAGAGTCGCAAAGGCCTTGGCACATGGCAGGAGAGGCTTCCTGTGGGTTGGCGCCACGTCCTGAGGCTGGGATAGGTGTGGGACGAGGACCGGCCGGAATGTTCCTGCATCCCCCAGGAAAAGGAGCAGATGAAGAGTTTTTGAGGTGCTTTCATCACTGCCTTTCTCAAGTACATTCAATTAAAGATTCTTTAATCTTGTAAGTGGGTAATCAGAAGGGTTATTTTTTTTTTTTCTTTTGGAGTGGAATAAAAAACTGCTATCTAGAGAAATATGGAATTTTTCAATCACAACCTTTTGCTGGAAAAATTCAGAGTGAGAATTCTGTCATTTTAGAAATGCTTCGTGCCAGGTCTTGAGCTTTTAGGTCCTGGCAGGAACTACAGGAGAGGATATATTGAGGTTATATGAAAACATGTATTTTTCTGTTCACAGGCTAAATGTAATCACTGGTTTAAACCCATAGGACAATCACAGCCCCCGCCCCCACCCTCTTTCTGTCACAGACAATTTTTCTTTCCCCCCTTACCCTGTGGAAGCCTGTCTATTTTCCTCGCTGTCAGGCTTTTCTTTCTACTGCCAGAAGAAGGAAATTCTGAGTTAGGGGGGCCTCCTCCTACTTGTGAGTCAGGAAACCACAAGAAGGACCCCATGTTTCTTCAGGTTTAGCCATTTCTTACTGATAGAAAGAGAGCCCAGGAGTGGCTATGAAGGAACTTGCAGGAAGTGAACTGAGTCCAGGAGGTGCTGCCTAGTGAGCAAGTCATTAGCTCCGCCACAAAGAAGTGGGAGCACCCCATTGTTTACAAACACCCCACCGGTGGCTAAGGAATTTGAAAACAAGGTATTCTTAAAGTATCACTAAAAATTCATGATTAACCTAGAAAATTTAATAAATTAACAACCATTCCTGGTTTTACTAGCACAGAAAATATGGCAAGGCAAACTCAAACGCAACCTCTGACCACTTTAGAAGACATTCCACGTCCCTCTCACCCTATCAGGCATTGGCAACCGTGTGAGGTGATGGAAATCCTAGTTAGCTTGATCGTGGTAGTCATTACCTAGGTCTACTTAAATCAATTACCATTTTAAACAATTTTAATCTGTCAATCAAACCCCAATAAATCTGGAAAAAATACACTCTGAATTAACAGATCTCTTTATATATTAACTTTTAACACGTGTATCCACAGT